TGTTCTTTATTTCATAAATTACGGTTTCATATTTTTAATTTTATAATTTCTGCATGCCATCTTACCAGATTTAAACTGATGATCTATAATCCGGAAAAATCAATAATCGGAATCGCCGAAGTCCCGACGAGTCCGGATTAACGACTTTTGACTGTATATATGTTTGTTGCATTAAGAATAATGCTTGCAATACCTATTAATGTGGCCACTGGCAAGAGAAGCTTTAGTAAAGGTTATGAAAACATACTTATGGTCAATCATGTCTCAAGACAGATTGAATTCTTTGTCAGTTTTGTCTATAGAAAATTATATTGTGAAGAAAATAAATGTAGAAAATGCCATAAAAATATTTGCTGATCTAAATCAAGAAAAGTGTTTCAAGTAGTCTAATGTTTCATAATATATAGATACAGGTTGAGAAAAAAGATATTGTTCATTATAACATACTGTAATATTTTTCATTATTTTACTAATCATGTTTAAGTAAGTGTACGTACAAATGGTTCAAATTAATGTGTTTGTACTGTAGTGGTTAATCAGAAATATAAATATAGAAATACTTTTTCATAATGTCATGTTAAATTGCATTACATTTTTAACTCAAATGGAGCAAATTGGGATCACTGTTTTAAAAATTACAATGTGTATTTATCTGGCAAGTAATAATTATTTATATTGGTTCTTTTCTCTCTGAAGGGAAAAAAGTAAGCTGAAAAAAACAAATTGCTAACGTGTATGGAAAAGTGAGTATCATAGTTTAGACTAATTAAGTCATGATATACATTTTTAAAAAGATTCCATTTGGGGCATATTTATGTTTTTGTGCACAGAGTATGGAAGTTAAAAAATAACCCGAAACATGTTGTTTTTAAACTAGAATATTTACTTGCACATATATTTGATATGTAAGCTGAATAAGAATTGTAAAGACTCTGAATTCTATGAATTGAATGGTACATTCCTTTTTTGAAGTGGAAATATTGTCAACAGTAGTATCTTTTCATTTCAGCAGCAGCGCACCTCATTATTCTTGGTTAAAAAATCCGAAACGTTGTTTTTAAACCCGAAACATGTTTTTTAAATACCAGGAAAGTTAAAAAAAAACACTAATGTCATTTAAACTACAAAAAAGAAATAGCCCGTTTTAATGAGAAGTAATACGATAAACTAAAAATTAATTTAAACATCAAAGTATCATTTGTAATGTACGTACGTGCATGCACACACACAGACAATTTATTTATTTATTTGTTTATTTATTTATTTATTTATTTTTTTACAGCCAATGTTTTTCTTGTTTTAATTGGTGGCTTAAAATTTTTTAAGCAGATTATCTCTTTTTTCTCTACATTCAGTCGCATAATTTTCCATGTGCTGATGCTCTTTTTTTATGTTTCTTGCTATGCCATTTTGATTTCGGAAAATTATTGCCATGTCAGTTATGGACTGAAATAATATTTCGTGATTTATTATTTGCCCAATTAAAGTTTAAGTACTGTTTAACTTTTGCAAGCATATAAAATCAGTAGGTAGCACAAATATTTTGATTTGTTTTTTTAAATAAAAATAATGGTAGTAGATTTAAGGGTGCCCCTTGGATTATCACTAAGTCGTTTAATTTATTGCCAAGTTATTGTTTCATTTATGGTAACCTGAGTAGTTTAATGCTATGGAAACCCTATGTTACTACGTAACGTAGTTACTACGTAACTGATTGCAGTGAATTTGAATGATTGGAAAAAGATTTCAAAAGGCTTGTTTGTGTGTTGGATTTTGGATAAGAAGTATGTTGTTATTTTGTGTTTTACATGATAAAATGGCTGCAAGCATATAAAATCAGTAGATAGCACAAATATTTTGATTTGTTTTTTAAAATAAAAGTAATGGTTAGAGTAGGTTTAAGGGTGCCCCTTGGATTATCGCTAAGTCGTTTCATTTATGGTAACCTGAGTAGTTTAATGCTATGGAAACCCTATTATTACGTAATTGATTGCAGTGACTTTGAATGATGGGAAAAGATTTCGAAAGGCTTGTTTGTGTGTCGGATTTTGGATAAGAAGTATGTTGTTATTTTGTGGTTTACATGATAAAATGGCTGAATGTGATAAGATTAATTTGAAGTTACTGTATGATTTGGAACAAAAGGGCAAAAAGTATTAATTGAGTGCTGTGTAAATGAAGGCTTACTTAGAAGCCATTGTAAGTGTCCTGTTTGTAGGAAGGAAGTGTGTATAGTTGAATGTCGGAGGATACCGCCACTATGTAGGATATTTTTGTCTCTTATTTTTGTGAATTTATGTGGCGATGCCAGTATACAGATAATTTTAGGAAGTTTTTGGATGCTGTTAAGGAATTTGGTTTGACTGAAGACATGGAAATTTTGTAAGTAAGTGGATATTTCCTTTGTGTGGTGCTAAGATGAATTTCCTTTTTTATATTATTTCATTGTTTGATTCAAGATGTAGTTTATTGAGAATTATATATATATATATATATATATATATATATTGGCTGCTCCTTTGACTTTTTAAGTGAATATAGATCGATGTGTACATAGACAGAGTCAAGGGAGTGCGCAATGCTTAGTTCGTGCAATTCACCAAATTTTTATTTTTATTTATTTATTTTTTTTTTTTCGATTCTCCAATTCTGAAGTGAAAATAGGTCAATGTGTACATGGATACCAAGTTTTTGCAATTCTATGACTTGTTATTTTGAATTTTTGTAGCAGTGAGTTTTGCGATTTTTGGTGCAAATATCACTGCTACACAAAGCCAAAATAGCAAGTCAAAGAATTGCACAGACTTGGTGTCCATGTACCGCCAAAAATTGCCAATTATCACCCATTGCTATTAACAGGGTACCCGTAAATATATTTTTACCAAAATAATATACATTGTGTAAAATAATATAATATGAAATGCAATCAAATGAAATTTGTTTGAGTACCTCTATGTACACAAATGGAAAGGAATTTCAGCAAATGTAGCCAAATCGAATCAAGAATCTATTACAAAACAAGAAGTTTAGTAAAAGTCATCATAACCATTCAGATTGCCATTCCATTGCTTGGGAAGATAGCTGACTACATGTGTGAAAAAAAAATATTTTCGTTTTTTGAATGATATTTTAACATGATCAGAATGAAATCATTGTCTCTAAACAGATTTTTATTGTCTGAATTAATTTTAAGTCATATGATGTTCAGATCGAGGCTGGCAAGAATGCAGAACCTTTTACTCGTTTCATGCTGTTTCATCCTGTGCAATATCTGTTATATGCAGACAAGCATTGTCTTTCAGTAGAATCACGCCATATGAAATCACATGCAGGATCGTGTCCAGGTATATACTGCTGTTGATAGTTATTCAAAACCTTACCATTACTTTTCAGGCTAAGGTTAAATTTTTAAGGTAATTGTATAAAATGGTTCCTGAATGACTTAAATTTCAGATGAGCATAACTCTGTTCCTATTAATCATGTATTTATTTGATATAGATAAAATGAAGAGGCAATTTCTAAGTTTTAGAATATAATCAAAATGTTGTCCATATTTTCTCATCAAAATGACACTATTGCATCAGATCAGTTACAATAGATGTGAAGAATTAATTTTCATTCAGGCCTCCCAACTCACTGATCTTGCATCATGTGACTTGTTCTTTATGGATATGCTTTAAATGTGTTTGTTACAATTGAGCAAAATCTTGCATTGCAGCAAAAAGGAAAAGAACTAAAAGAAATAACATAAATAATTTGTTAATAAAACTTAAGTGGCTTTCCTTTCATTTTATGTAACCTTTATCTCATTTTATTCATGAAATTCAAAGTCATCCTGATATTGGATTAGACATGTGGAATCACTCTTTATAATACTTGCGATATTTCATATACAGTCAAAAGTCTTTAATCTGGACTCTTCGGGACTTCAGCGATTCTGGATTATGGATCATCAGTTTAAATCTGGTAAGATGGCATGCAGAAATTATAAAATTAAAAATATGAAACTGTAATTTATGAAATAAAGAACAATTATGATCTAAAGGGTATCAGAATTTACAAAAAAAAAAAAAGCTTAATATTTATTTGTTTACTTTATTAAACATTTCTTTCAATGCGTGCATGCGTAAAGCATACATTACACATAGTCAAAATTAAAAAATTGCAACCAGAAAACTATTTGATGTGTATTCGTGATATTTATAATGAATTTGATTTAAATCATATCAAAGACAGAGTACATCGAGATGAAATACTACATTTAATAATGAACTATAAGCCGAATAAAATAAAAAATCTGCCCTGAAGATAAGTATAGTGCTGACAGATCAACTTCCAGTTCATTGCGTGCCGTGATGTTCCCCTTCCCCGCAGAACAGCGTGAAATTGATAAACAGATTTCGGAATGATTAGAGAAACAAAGGATATGCCTTTATCCATTTTTTGCAGCAATTCTACTTTTTGTTTGATGGACATCGAAACATGCTTTCGCTTTGTAGATCCTTGGCAGTATCCAGCATTGGAAATTCTATTTGACATAGTCGAAAGTTCAAGCTTACTTTTATAAAATTGCTCTAACAGTCTGAAAAAAAATAATAAGCCGGATCCAATCTGAAGATTAAGGAACAACGCAATCTGCAACATTAACTGAAATAGATAATTTTAGCCTAGCTTATACCGTTCGTTATACATTAAATGCGCATGTGTAAACATATTATGTGTATGCGTACACGCATATGAGGCATGCGTCAACGCATTATGCATTGACGCATGCGCAGAAAGTTTGTAGCTTAGAGGTCCGGATTGAGCGTCCAGATTAACGACTTTTGACTATATAGCATTGTTCATATAATATCATTGTTCTGTTCTATTTCTTGCCTTATTGGATGGAAGGATATGAGATCACAGATAGAATTTTTAATCGCAAAATATACATAAATTTATTCATTAAAAATTATTACTTTAATATGAATTTTAAATTTATCTTCATATTTTTTAGTGCTGATGACCAAATCAAGAAAATCTTCAGTCTTTCTACTGCTTCAAAGGTAAATAACAATTTTTTAAATTTAATATGTCAAATTATATGTGCATTATTGAAAGACAGATGAATGAACTTGTCATAGTATATTTTAATGTATTATGTTTGGTTTTTTATTTAAAATGACCACTGTGTAAAAGTAAATTGTGATAGAATGAAGAAATCCAACTCTGATTTGAATCCAATTTCAACGTATACATTAATTTTATATCAACTAGTTAAAACTAAAAAATTATGGTAATTTAAATATCAATCAAATCTATATCAAAGTTATCAGTATGCAGAGTTGTTATTTAGAGAATACATTAAATGCTTGTATTGGTTTTTGAGAAAACTCCTGCTTCTGGGTTTTAATTCTGATACATTTATCTTCTAGAATACATATCTCTTTCTTTATACTTAATATGAAATGTTGAAATATGGTATAGAAATTTAATGTCAGTGAAAACAGTTAAGGATGCAGATTAACAACTTGGTCAGTGATATCAGTCTTTTACATGAGCTTCTTTTCAGATGTTGGATATGAGAATTATTTTTAAATCTTAATCGGCCCCCAAAGGCTCACTCCTTATGAGTACAAGTGTGGCAATCCCCAGGCACCCTAACTTTTCAAGAGGTCACGATCCTGGAGCCTTAGTGATATTTCCACCTTTCCTTTCAAACTATCCTCATCTGTTGCTTTTCCATTTCTTCCATTCTTGTGGTTTTCCTTTTTTGGAAGTTGAGGCTGAAAGTGTCACATCCCTTTGTTTCTAGTTTCTCATGGAGAGAAAACTGTCAATTATTTGCTCTGTGTTATGACCCATATGGCTAGAAAGTTGTTTTTGAGGGGTAGCTGGAAAGCTGTTATTCGAGGAGTGAGGTACTGTCCCCAACACACAGCTTTGGCCTCTGCTTCAAGTGAAACAGGAGGCACTAAACAGAAATCCCTGCTAGTGTCAATCAGGGTACTCACTTATCCTTAGGGTCAGTGGCTTGAGAATAAACTTTTGGGAGTTCCTGCGTTCGGGAAAGTTGACTGTAGGCCTTGAGATTGTGTATAGACCTGGTTAACTCTGGTGCAGGATTCTGTGTCTCCTTGTTGAACTCTACAATGAGTGGGGCTGCCAGGTCCTAATTAAATTTTCAATTAAATATAGCTAACTCAAATCAACAAATTGCTAATGACAATATGCTCTCATAAAGTTAAAACTAACGTAAATGACAATGAAGAAAGAAGGCCACCACAATTTCTTGTAATTAGTAATTTGATAGGTAATTGGAAAAAAAAAAAGATTCTCCTTTTCTAATAAAAAAATATCTACGATCAAATATTGGCAAACCAAATAATATTGAGCAGCTGTATTCTGAAGATCTTTGATGCAACTCTCCTTGGACTAAACAAACTTGGGCCAATTGACTTAAGTGCCTCAGAACACAAAACGTTAAACTGTAGTCATGGAGTTATTTAAGAAATTGACCTCCTTTTTGTATTAAAAGAAGAAATGTTCTCTGAATTATCAAGAAAATCTGTGCTGCTAGGCAGATTAAAGATGCATAAGGAAGGTCAGTTAATAGATAAAAACTTGTTATCCTGACCTTCAATTCGCCTGATCTGCCAAAAAATATTAAGGCCAGGTACTTGCACTGTCCTGTAAGACCTTACATATGAAACCCTATGTGATACTTTCAGTGTCAGTGCTTTGGACATTCTAAAATGTCCTTCATGGCTAACTCGCATTTGCTCATTGCCTTATGGAATGCCATGACAGTGATAATTGCAATGCTGAGCCTCTATATGCAAATTGCAAAAGATAGGATATGGCATTCTCTCAAGTGTGTTCAAAATGGAAGTCAGAAAAAGTAGTACAAATGCTAAAAGTTACAAAGAATATTTCATATTTTGAAGCCAAACAGTTAGTAGCAGTATAGTAGCCACAGAGAAATTTGTCTTACATTCACACAGTAAAATCAACGAGATCAATAGGTATACAAACAACAGTATTTGTACAAACAGTTAGCCTGTTAAAAATTTACAAGGGAACATAGCAGCCAAACCAATATCTTCAATTATCAAGGTAGGTAGGTAGGTTATGGAGGACTGGAACGCCTGATGTCTAACAGAGGTAAACAGGCATGTGTTCCAAGCCCTCCTCTAACTACGGCAAGAGCTTCCTGGAACCACACGAGCTGCACCAGGAGATTATTGAGGTTGTCAAAGGGAAGTACATGGCCTTACAAGGGCATTAGTAGGATTGTATTACAGATTGAAGAGGCAAGCTGTGGTGTTACAGATAGTAGGTAGTTAAACTAAAAATACTTGGATAATAAGACGTACGCATAAAAAAGACATAAAAATGCATAGGCAACAATACACAAAGCACAATGCGTAAAATGCATAAACAGAGAGCACAAAAAACAGGTACATACACATAGTCACTTAAGGCACAAAAAGATAAATGGAGTACATGAAGTCACATGAAAGCTGGAGCACAATGTTAGTGTAAGGCAGTTCTGTTGGATATAAATACAGGTACATCTTGAATGATGAATGATGAGTTCATGAATACTCATGTGTGCAGAAGAGTGCGGTTAGATTGCTAAGGCGTTGATTATTGTAGCGTCGCTAAGAACATAGATAAAAACACTGATAAAAGGCACGAGGATGTTGTAGCACTAATTATTGGGCAGTGCCCCAGCAATGTGTGCACCGTGAGGCACACAAGCGTTCACTAACACTGCGTAAGAAGATGTTGTTCACATGCTGTTGAAGGGATTACACACGTATCATTATGGAGGCATAACACATCTCACTAAGGAGATGCCACATATTTGCGAATTGTTAGTATTGCCACTTTAGATTGTGGGCAGGGGAGCTTAAACACACAGTTGTGGTGAAGCCCAGATATTGTAAAATTCACTGGACTAGTCTTAGAGCTTATCGTCAGTACACCATAGCGTCATTTTAGCACGGTAGGCAAAGGTCTGTGCCCAATGCCGCGATGGTATTCATGATGCTGGAGATTGAATTAACCGCTCCTTTATGCGTTATAAGGAACCGGTGATAGGCGTTCCTATTATTTGTAGGTAGCGGAAGATGGTGTGCAGCCGTCAAAGGACATTCAAATACGTAATGGTCTGGTGACCCTTCTGATCCACAGACACAGATATCTGTATTTGAGATGCCGTGGCGATTGTAATAGCTAGGAAACGGGCCGTGACCCGTGATGAAGTAGGTGAGAGGTGCTACGGCAAAGAGTCGATCGGTGGAAACTTTCGGGAGGTAGGTGAAAGTCCGTCTGCCTGTATCGCATTCGGTCCACTCACGTTGCCATTGGTGCATTCCTTGCTCTCGTAGGAGGCCCTTTAGATAAGAGCAGGGCGCAGGTACGGTGATGGGTTGGGCTGTCGGGTTGGAAATTGCATCTTTGGCCAACGTGTCAGCAGCCTCGTTGCCCTCATTATTCGCATGGGCTTTAACCCAGACTAGATTGAGATGGTAATGAGGGTGTTGCATAAGGAGATGTTGGAGACTGAGTATGAGAGGTGAGACATGATGATGGTTCTCAAGTGCAAGTAAAGTTGAAAGGCTATCGGTATAGATATTTGCTCGTGGGATCTGGCAATCTATGAGATGTTGCACTGCTGCCGTAATTCCCAGTACTTCCGCCTGGAAGATGCTATTGTGAGTGCGAAGTTGTCCTTGCCAGTCGTGTACAGTTTTGCCATTCTCATAGTGCACAAAAGCACTGCCTACACCATTCTCCTGCTTTGAACCGTCTGTGTAGATCTGGTTCCCATTCCGTGGTGCGTGTGTCGAGGTGTGAGTCTGTTGCTTGTCAATTTTGATGTGGGTTCCACTTCCTCTGAGAGCTGGATGAGTATGGGTAGAAGTGGAGGGACGTTCGAACTGGACTGGACTGTAGCTGGTATTTGCGAAAGTTGCATCTTTGCGTAGGTGGATCAATTTAGTGAAAGTTGCCTCCATCTCTGCTTTTATATGGAGTGGTAATATGCCGGCTAGAACTGTTGATGCACTGGTGGCGGTTGTGCGGTAGGCTTTGCTTGATTGCAGGGCGAAGGGGCGTTGTAAGTTGCGTGATCTTGCGAGTTTCCATTGGCTGCGCCCAGATCACTGCAGCGTATAAAGTTTTTTTTTTTTTACAACTGTGAGTTATAGCACCTTTTGGATATGGGGATTTTGGCCCCAGTTGCGACCTTGAAATTGTCTTGCTATGCGGGCGATAATTGACGTCTTGTTTCTAGTTTTCATGATATGCGGAATCCAGGTGAGACCTTGGTCTCATACTACCCCTAAATACTTGACATTCCGCATAATTTAGATGTTTCTGCCTAGGAGTTTTATGCATGGACGACGCGTTGGATTGGTACCTCGTCTGGGAATTATTATTGCTGACGATTTTCCTATGGAGATCGTGAGCTTTAATTTTGTTGCATGCGGTGGTAAATAAGGTGCAGGTCTCTGTGCTGTTGCGTTCCAGTTATTTCCTGGTGCGTCCTCTTACGAGCAGGGCTACGTCGTCTGCATAAGCAGTGATGTTTGTATGCTGTGGCCAGTTGGTTTCAAGGACTGAATTGAAGGTGAGGTTCCATAGTGTCGGTCCCGCACAGGACCCCTGCGGACAATCTTTTTTCTTGTATCTTGGATGTCGTACCGTCGTTATTTACAAACGGATATGGCGGTCGTGGAGGTAGCTGTTGAAGATGTTGAATAGGTTGGAGGGGCAGTGTGCTCCTCTGAGGGCCTGCTTAATTGCTGGCCACCAGAGGGTGTCGAATGCACTCTTTAGGTCTATAGAAATGAAGGCTGTGTGCATTTCGCTGTTTTTATTGCGTAGTATTGTTTCCTGAATATTGTAAAGGGCATGTGTCGTGGAAAATCCTGTGCGTAATCCATACTGCCGGGGGCTGAGATGGTTAATTCTGTGCAGGTGGTGCTTGAGCCTGTTAACGAGGAGTTTTTCATAAATCTTGCCTAAAGCAGAGAGGAGGCAGATGGGCCGGTAA